TCCATTTCATAATTTCCATCAGGTTTACCAGTTCCTCTGTCTCACCAGAGACCCAATTTCTCTTCTCAGCCTTCATCCTGCTTTTCCTTACCACACAACACACCTCCTGTCTACTGTACAGTCTCACACCCATCTCCACTTCTCTCCTACAATACTTCTCTTAGTCTTTTCAGTAACTCCCAGTCTCACCTGCCTCTTTTCCATTCCCATGTACAGCAGCATTCACACCACACTTGAGTCACTGTCTCTCCGACCATTGACCCTTTTCCTTTTACACCTGGTGTCTGGTGTTTTAGTCCTACCTTATGGATACCATTTGTTACTTCGTTCAGAATGCCAGTAATTACTTAGCCAAAAACTTAAAATCCGTACCCCACCCTTACCTTTGTCAGGAATCCTGTTTGGTTTGTGGGGCTATGCTGCCTTTAAAATACTGTTCTCATGGCTTCTAGAATATTTTCTCTTATTCCTTTTCTAATATGTCCCTGGAGGATCCTTCCCACATACTCTTCCCCTATACTTACTGCTCTAATCTCTGTTTCTTCATTAAGGTAACACCATCTGTAAATGCAAGTACAGCAGCTCCCTGCTGAGGGTCTTCATCACCAAGACCTCTCCTCCTCCATGCAAACAAGCTTCACTCTCTGTATCTCTGCCTACAGTTGCTCATCTATCTGCTCATACAAGTGTAGCACAAATAAAAATGGACTTCTCAAGCCTTCATTCTCTTCCAATTGCATTTGTTGGAAACTGTGGCCAATATAATGATGGCGACTCAGACTTTCACCTAACCTTCATCTTAGACACCTCTTAAAAACAGATTTAAGCTAAACCTCGAGGATTTTTTTGTATGATCTGAGAGGTGAGGTCTTCCCAGTTCAGCCAATGGCCTGCAATTGTTCAGACTCATTATCCTAGATCTTAGTACACTGCTTTTTCCCTAGGGCATGTACACACATCCACAGATGCACAGAAGATATGCCACTGACATACCAAACCCAGTAGTAACTTCCTGTTGTAGCTAAACACAAGGTTACGATTGAAGGGTCACTTCCTCATCACTCTCTTCTGCAACAAGCTCTGGCTGCTGTAACAGAGGAATATATTCCTACTACAGAAACTATAATTCATTCATGGTGCTCCACAGTGCAGATTCTCATGCCCTTCGCATCCAGTTTCTTTGAGAAGTGGGGGCTGGAGGCTGTGACTGATCTTTCGTCATTTGCAGTCTGTGCTAACGGAAGGTTTGGAAAAAGCAGAAAGGGGACAGATGTGGCATTCATACTGGACCTCAAATTCGACAGCACATGGACTTTCACCCACAAAAATCTTGACTACAGAGGAAGAAAGTAACTCTTCTCAATGTCTTCTATAAATGAATTCTTATGTTCTCTTAAATTTTTGTTGGCTGTATTGTAAAACAAAAGTTTTTGGAGATAGTAGGATCTAGGAAGCTTAGCAGTATTCATCAAAATGAACTGAAATCCTGCTTTTCCAAATATGAAAACTTCTCACAGAAGCTGCATTTGATAGAATTTAAAGACTTCAGGCAAGAGCAGCAGATTGAAAAGGCAGGCAGATAACTCCACTTGAGCACACTGAAATGTACTTTATGGGTCAGTGAAAGAGGTACAGTGGCTATTTGGCAGACAACACTGCATTCAGTACATCACTGATTTTGACAGGCTCTTCAAAAGAAAGGACAAGAAATACTCGAAAAGAATTGTTCTTATTATTATGAGCTCGGTCACTGAAGGATCTCATTTGAACATAACTGGGAAAATTATAGTTAAGATAAAGTCATCAACTTACACAAAAATAACTTGTCACCCGAAGGTCGTGGCATTCCTGTCAGTGTCTGGATGGACATGATGACCGCAACCTACCATCAACTCTGCCCTCCACATTGTCCAGCACTCATTAAAAGTGTATTTTCTGTACTTTCAACTTATAGGACATGAAGACATGGACAAGGGAATAATGTCGTTTTTCTGCACACTACAAATTTTTTGTTACAAAAGATACTGAAAACTCTTCTCTTCTGCCCTTCCCAAACCACTCGATTAACATGAATGGAAGCTCCCACCATGTATTGTGGCTTCAATATAAAAATAAAAACCGTCTTTGTTTATGAACTCAAGCTGAGCAGCAGCAGAGAGCAAACAGGAATACACCACTTCCCTACTCTTTCCATACCTCAAAGGAAATTCATGCATTTGCTCCAGCCAAGGGTTTCCAATAGCAACATACAGTTGGTATCATATTGAAACATATCCAGGAGCTTGTATTTATTTATTTTTAAATTAATGCAGTAGCACAGTTCTCACAGCAGCTCTGCTGATGTGGTAAAATGGTTCATAAGATGCACCTGTCTGATTGCACATCCAAACACAATCCAGCTGCTCAGAAGCTAATGATAGCTCTGTGAGGGTGATTCAGGGAAAGAGCTTTTTCTTTTTGCAGCTCATCCAACACCAGCAACAGGCTGATACTTTTAACGTGATTCTCTGTTGTGTTTCTCACTTATTTCACTCTCCAGAATAACAGCCACAGGCTTGAGAAAGTCACAAAGCAAGCAATTCTTGTTCACATTTCCTTATACTCAGCTGCTTTGCTGTAACAGGCCAACAAGTTATACCAGCCTATGATACACTGCACAACTTTCCATCTCAACACTCCAATACTGGTTTTGCCACATTAGGACTTGCAAATGACAGCTGATGCTGCTGAGCTACACACTATGTGTGTATTACGTAGTGGCTTTATCTTTTTAAAAAAATACTTTATAAATTCTTGGTAACAACATGATCTCATTATGCAGTGAATGCAGACCTGTTATCAACAGTGAATTTTCTAATGTTCTGTTTTTGTACAGGAAGAGAGGACAAAGTCAGGTCTTGCTATCCAGGCCCCCCCTTGCTGACACTGACTAAAAAGGGGAAAATTCTGTTCCTCACAAGTCTGCTAGGGAATGCCAACAGCCAAAGGAATCGTGTCATCCCATCAATTTCCTGCTCAAAGATTTTTTTTTCAGAGTGATCACATGAAAACTTAGGTGGAATGCACAAGGATCAACCAGCCAGCAAGTTAAAGTTTGCAGCCTCTGAGTAAAGCCAATCAACATAATAGTAAATTAAATATTAATGTAGTAAAGGACATTAAAAAAGGGTAAAATTAGGAAGCTTTTGAAAGTAAGACCAATACAAAAAGAAATCTGGAGTACAGTTTATACACAGAAAGTGGTTAGATCAAAGCCATCACCTTTGAGCCACCATATACCAGTGAAGAAAACTATACTAGAAAAACTACCCAGGCAAGGAGCTAAAGTACCCTTATATAGCAAAATAGTCATTCCCCTCTCCTCACTGTCTCATATCATTAAGTTGCACAAATTATACAAGAAATTAAGCCCATACAATTAAATCAACTGCTTGCAAGTTACAGCTCTCTTCCAACTCTTCTTCCCAAAAAATATAAAGTTCACAAAGCAAAAACAGCCACCCACATTGAGACACAATTACACAGTTCTAATTACATTATAAGAGATCTCTCAGTCTCAGAATTTTAATACACTCTAAAAGAAAATATTTGTACTGGGAATGCAACAATGCACAGAATCACAGAATGATTTGGATTGGAAGGGATCTTAAAGATTATCTATCTCCAACTTCCCTGCGATTGTTAAGGACACCTTCCAAAAGACAGGTTGCTCAAAGCCCCTTCCAACCTGGCCTTGAACACTTCCAGGGATGGGGTATTCACAACTTCTTTGGGCAAACTGCTCCAGCACCTCACCACTCTCACAGGAAAGAATTTCTTTCTAATATCTAATCTAAACAAACTTTCAGTTTAAAGCCATCACCCCTTGTCCTACCTCTCTATGCCCTTGTACAAAGCTCCTCTCCATCCTTCCTGTAGACTCCCTTCAGGTACTGGAAGGCTGCAATTAGGTCACCCCAAAGCCTTCTCATTTGCAGGCTGAAGAACTCCAACCCTCCCAGCCTCTCCTCACAGGAGAGGTGCTCCAGCCCTCTGACCATCTTTGAGGCGTCCTCTGGACATGTTCCAACAGTTTAATGTTCCCCCTGTGCTGGGACCCCAGGGCTGGATGCTGCACTGCAGGTGTGGTCTCAGCAGAGCAGAGCAGAGGGGCAGAAGCCCATCCCTTGTCCTGCTGGTCACACTGCTTTGGATGCAGCCCAGGAYACAACTGGAWTTCTGTGCTACAAGTGCACACTGCTGGGTCGTGTTCWGMCTCTCATCCACCAGCACCCCCAAGTCCCACTTGGCAGGGCTGATGTGGATCAGTTATCCCCCAGCCTTTATTGATACCAGGGGAGGTGTAGCTTTATGGATAATGCTTCGGCACTGCAAAAATTAACTCCATCAATGAAAGTGACAATTTTGTAATTACCTATGCCAAGAAATTTTGCTAATCTGTTTGCTTGTGGCTGGGAATATCTCCATAATCCATCTGAAAAATCTAGATCAGCAAATGCCTSAGGTGGYCAGAAAACTCTATAAGCACCTCTTYTGTATTAAAAGTATTTTAATAAAGKCCAGCTCACCACAAATTATCCTTTTTGGAAAACTACTTTATTATCTTTTCTTTCCTATTTAATAAATCAGTGCCAATTCACCATTCAGAGCTAGCACTTCACTTTAATTTTCTTGGTGGAACAGCAGTGCCATTTGATCGTTCTCATAAACCTGTATCAAGACTAGCAGTGTATTTTTTCAAGAGACAGTTTAGGCCTAGTTCAGAAACAGCTTTCTGTAATATGCCCTGAACTTACAACATTCCAAAACCGCAACAAGAAACCAGGAAAAGCAAAAACATCTCTACAGAGAAATGCCAGGTCTTCTAGGAAAACATGAAAATACTTTAAAATACTGACAAGTGTTAAAACTCATCTCAGCTCTGGTACTCTTTGCATGAAAACGAGCTGGCTCAATGCTGTTCGCTTATCCTATATAAAACCAATGTGATCATTTTAACATCTGGCACTTGAGAGGTCTTAAAAACTTCCACTGAGATTTTTTCACCAAATGGATGTGTGAGTCATGTGCCAATGAAGACAATTACCAAATGATACCAAGTAGCCAGGAGGTCAGAGTTAAAAAAGGCAGAAATATTTTGAGAAATAATGATGCTTTAGCAGGGTCACATTTGTTTCAGACACAGCATAAATTGAGACAAAAAGATTAGAGTACAAACTGATTAATATGCAAACAAGAATGCTTTAAACAGCTTTAACCAGAATGGAGTTTTCAGACTGAAATGTAATTTTTGTCTCCTGCTATAATAAAGACTACAGGGATGACAGAGTTTGTTATAATGATAAAAATGCTTAATTTGTGTTTTCAAAACATGCCTCAAGTATAATGATTTGCTGATCTACTATTCGCTGAAATACCACCACAATACAAGAAGCACCAAGCAACAGCTTATGTTACCAGTGTAGGTTTTCTGTTTTTTTTTTTATTGGAAAGAACTATCAGTTACTGGAAAATTTGTGTTTAATGTTTACTTTCTACCTTTTGTGGTATCTGAAATGCTGTTTAGCAAGGCACACATCATGTCTCCTTCAATCTGGTGAGGATTCAGGATGCAAGCTGACCGCTGAGTCATTTTAAATTGGTTTTCCAGCTCCAGGAAGCTTTTGTCTCCAGAAAGTACAGTGAAAGGAATTTGCTTGGGCAGGTGCTCATCCAGACGACCAGCCTACAGGGAAACAAATGACAAGCACTGAACAGAGATCATGTTTTTACTTCATGGCATTTGGCTAGCTTTATGCAAGACAAGTCTTCACTGGAAAGTTTTCTACAGCAATTCATTCCTGCTTTTATGAGCCAAGCCATGTTACATCACTGTGAAAAGCACTATTTCAAAATTTTGATGCTCATTTCTTCTCTAGGTACAATCGATACAGGTAATGGCTACCAGAACAATACAAATGGGGTATGGGACAAATTCCTAAAAAGCAGCATTTTAGAAGTGTCTTGACATAAAGCAAGTCTTTTGTGCAGAACATTTAAAGAGTAACATAAAAGGCGTCATAAATCATACAACCACTGCTGCAAAATGTGCTTTATAGACAGTAATTATATCTAACTGATAAAGCACTATATGGCCTCAAGCTGCACCAGAGAAGGTTTACATTTTCACTGAAAGGGCTGCCAAGCATTGGAACTGGCTGCCCAGGGAACCAGTGGAGTCACCATCCACATCAGGTGTTCAAAAATCACGTGGATATGGCACTCAAGGACATGGCTTAATGATGGTGGTACTGCTGGGTTGATGGATGGACCTGCTGGTCTTAAAGGTCTTTTCCAACCTTAACAATACTATGATTCTACTTTAGGAACGTGAGTCCCCATGGCATCCCAGATTCCCATTCTTCACCTGCACATCCCCAACCCTGCCAAAGCTCAAGGTCTATTGAATAAAGGCACTGCTCTGTCAGCTCAGCAGGGTCTGTGAAACCTGTGAAACCATTCAACTCCATTGTCAAGATGGCTTGACATTTGGGCTCCTTGAAGAGAGATGTGAAACCTGTGAAACCATTCAATTCCATTGTAAAGATGGCTTGACATTTGGGCTCCTTGAAGAGAGATGAAGTCACATTTCACTCTAATAGAGAAACTGTAAGAAGTATAGGCTTTTTTATCATCATTTCCTAACCAGCTCTCTTCCCCCTCTCCAAAAGACTGTTGTGCTGTTTGGGCTAATTTTTAAATCACTTCTTGGCTATCTGTCTCCAACCAATCCAGGTTTATCATTCCTTACAGTGAACACAGAAGTCTCATGAAAAGAATCTAAGAACGTCATCTCCAATTGGCACCTAACATCAATATCCTGGGTACAGGACACAACAATATCCTGGGTACAGGACACAACAATAAAGCAAGTGTGCTCTAACTTACATGAACACAGAGAGCAAAGTCTGCTGCTTCTCTTCTGGTACTGCAACGTGGATGAAGAAAAAAACATCCAATTCTGTTAAGATAGTTGTAAATTTTGCAATGCACTGGAGGCTTCCAGTTGCTGTATCCTCCTAAACGATGAAAAAAACATAACATTAGTAATAATAAAAACCAAACATGAAAAACAACCAAACCATAGGTTTGGGCAGAAATGACTCTCTGAAATAAGAATTCAAGAAGGCAAAAGCAAATACAACATTCTCTTTAAAGACAGAATTTATTTTGGCCAAAGTGAAAGCTAAGAAAAACATGTTACCAAAATCCCACCAACCCTCTTGTTTTTTAGCAAGAGAAAAAGAAAAAAGTAGCTAGCCTGATACTACTCATTCGATTTAGTAAGATTTTTTTTCTACAAATCCTGAAAAACGTATCTTCTAGATATTGTGTGCTTTTAGACACAAGGATGTCTTTTTCTCCACTTTGAAGCACAGTTATGGTCAATGTGCAGAATCATAAGAGCTCTGGAAACATAGTACAAGTAGCCGTAATGTTTCTCTTAGGGAAACTGGTACTACAGGAGTTACAGAGTCAAAATGCACTGTAACTGCCTGACACATCACACATCAGAACTCATTAAAAAGAGGATTCAAGAACTGGAGCAACAGCTGAAACAAACGCTAAAGTCCTGACAAATCTTTGGATGCAGTCAGTGATAAGCAAAATGAGGCTATAACTAGAAAAAAGGGCAGGAATTTTCTAAACAGTACCTTAAACATGTAGTTACTGGCTGAGAAAATAGCTGAATAAAGATGAGGTGAGCAAAGTGCCTGCTACAGACAAAAGCAGTATAAGACTGAAACAAGTTGCAATGAAAAGGAAAGAAGCAGGAAGTCACTCAAGAAGAGAGGGAAAACGTGAAGAGCTTGCACAATAAAAACAGATATGACACCACAAAAAGGCAAGAAAAGGAAGAACAATTTGACCAGAGTGATTAAGATTTTCATAACATTCCAATGGCTAAGAAATAATAGGTCTGCAACATGGAGGAAAAAATGTTGCTTTATCTGCTAGATGATAAAGTGACTAGATGTAAAACAGGATTTTGAATGGAAAATGAAAGCAGTCATTGATGGCACTTCACATGAGGATATGGGAAACCAAGGCTCAAGTTAACAGGCTGCATAGGATGATTTATGCCACCATGTCCACCTCAGTCTGACAAAGAAAAGGTTTCCTCAGTAGACTTCTCCTATTTTCTCCCACCTTTTCAGCCTTATGGTAAGAAGATATCAAAAATGATCGCAAAGATAAAGATTTATTAAGAGTGTACACAGAAATGATTTAGTGGTATCTGTCCATGAGAAAAAAACTGCTATTTGCAGGTTTCTCTCATCTGCTGTGACAGGCCTCAGTCACTGATATTTGGGAAAGACTTGTAATCACCAGCCTTGTTTTTTGGCTGCATAAATGCACTACACAAGCATTTGATCAGGGCAGCTGAAAACAATGACAGACCTATGTTTATTCAGTTTGCTAGCCCACAAATGGATGAAAGACAATTGAGTGTCTGAAGACAAACAATACAGAGTCCAGACAATACAATGGAGGAACTCAAAGCAAAGCTAGGGCTATACTAGAAACATGAATAATAGAAATAATGCAGATACATAATATAAAAATAATAATTAAAAATTCAGAAATGTTTTTGGAAATACATGAAAAAAATGGTGTTATATTTTTGCAGTTTAAACAAACAAGAATAGCATGCCTCAAGTAACTATGCAAAACATTATTATGAGAGGGTATCTCCAACCATAGACCCAGATGTTCCTGGGAGACTTGCCCCAAACTCAAAACCAGTAGAGTTTACACTAATAAACTGGTAAATTTTTCTCTAATATGAATATGGCTCATTTTATTCACAAGTAACTCTTTAGCATGGTTTTTTTAATTCACATGCTTCAGGTGACATTCCCACAAGGCAGGCTGCACACAGCAAACCTGTTTGGAAGTAAGGAATTGAGTGCTGACATGGACTGTGCTGTGCTATCAGGCACCTGTGTTTGGAACATCTCTGGGCACAGTCTTAACTAGCACAAAGGTACCACAAAGGTAAGGATATTGTATTAGTAAAGTTCTTAACCACAGACTAGTAAATTATGACTGTGTTATGATTATTTTTTCTTAAGTTAGAGAAGAGAAACTTCTGACAGTACAGCTCAGACATCTCTAGGTTCAACCAATTTTTTCCTTAATGAATCAAAACCACATTTTAACCTTGGAAAACAGCAATAGCACAGAAGACCTTGTCATAGCAAACAAGCTAAAGTCAACTAATGACAAACTAATTTCAAGTAAATTAGATGGAATAACGAAGTATGACTGAAAATCGGTGTCTAAATTCACATGGGGAAAATTATTCCTAACTAATTCTTTATAAAATCCAGACAAAATAGCCTGGTATTTCTTCCAGTTAGTTTCCTAAAAGTTTCATAGTAGAAACAGCTTTTCCAAGGCTAAGTAGGTTGAATAAGTGTAGAAATAAACAAGCCTTCAGCAATTAAAAACTACAACCAAACCCCAAATCACAACAGTATTCAAGGAGTGCAGAGGTAAAATGAAATCTGCCCAGACGTTCAAGCTGGGCAAAGCCCCACAAAGGATAGTAAGAACAAATGACATGTTGTTCCGCCATACAGTAAAGTCAATGTACATAAATGAAGCAGCCAGGCAGCACAGATGAAACAGAAATCTAGGACCATTAGGTATAACGAAATGTGAGTTATCTTTCATTGTTTATCTCGTGAGACCCAACCTGGACTACTGCATTCAGTTCTGGGGTCCTAAACATAAGAGTAACATGGAACTGTTGCAGCAAGTCCAGAGGAGGGTCAGGAAGTTGGTAAGAGCACCTGCCCTATGAAGACAGGCTGAGAAAGTTGGGGCTGCTCAGCCTGGAGAAGAAAAGGCTGTGTGGAGCAACTTTCAAATATCTCACGGGGCCTACAGGGAACCAGAGAGGGACTTTGTCAGTTACGACAGGAGGACAGGACAGGAAGTAATGGATACAAACTGAAAGAGAAGAAATTTAGGTTAGCTATTAGAAGATGCTTAGGTTAAATGTTAGAAAGGGAGTTTTTACTGTGAGGGTGGTTAGACCCTGGAACAGATTGCTCAAGGAAGTTCTGGATGCCTCAACCCTGGCAGGGTTAAAAGCCAGGCTGGATAAGGCCTCGAACAACCCGGTCTAGTGGGAGGTGCCCCTGCCCACGGCAGAAGGGGTCAGAACAAGATGATCTCTCAGGTCCATTCAAATCCCTTAACATTCTGTGATTTAAAAGCTCAAAAGGAGTATTTTCTGTGGCTTGCATGTGCACAGGAATGTTACAGAAAGGCCAAAGGTAATGACAATATAGGTAGTGATACAGAAGTAATGCTGAAGTAGAACACAAAACTCAGGAGAATAACCTATTTTAAGGTTAAGGGAAGATGAGAGGATTTCTTCCCAAAACTCCTAACAAGATTACASGTCCAGGAGCACAGATGACTGTATCTAACGCTATACATTAATAGCCATACTTGCTCTGCCTTCATCAGATACTGGAAAACATGTTTCTAAGAAGGAAAAAAAGTAACCATCAAGAGGCCAAAAGTAAGCCATCAAGAGGCCTTTCTGTCCAACATGAGAAGCACGACAACTCTCAGCTTTCAGAATATTCTTGATTATCTTCCATGTGAAGAGATAATAAAAAACATTTAGGAAAGAAGTGCTGTGCAATCGTGTTTACTAAGTATAAAACACACTTGACACTTCCTACAAAAGTGGTAAAATAATGCCTATGTTTCAGGCCATAAATATTTTGAAACTATCCCTTATCTACACTTTACTGAAGAAATCAATGTACCACAGACAAAATAATTATAAAAGCAGATACAGAGAAAACCTGTAGAAAAAGCATGAGGTGGACAAGATGTGGGTTCAAAAAGAGTCAGATAAGCAGAAGTATCAAGTTAAAGGGATGCTACTGGCAGACTGCAAAACAGTATAATTTTAGGGTCCCTTTCGACCCAGACCATTCTCTTATTCTATGAAACTCATGAAATGCAAGTTCCATCAGTCACTGGTATCTTCTAGTTGTGACATTGTTGTACAGGATGACCAARGCCACCCTTTAAAGAACAAGCCAGAGACAGAACAACATTAAAAGTCTAAGAATGCAAAATCATGTCTTCTGGAACTAAATAAGCAAACCAAACCAAAAATTTCTAGTCTTATGAGAAGGACTCAGGAGTTAAAGTAATCTCTGAGTATTATGGCTGTCCTGATAATTATGAAAATAGAATACATCATAAGTAAGTTCATGAGGGAAGCCAGAAAGACTCCTAAACAGTTCTGCAATTCTGAAACAATATTCTACAAGGAATAGTAAGAGCAGTGGAAGTTTAGACTGAGTTTGAAAAGTTCAAGAACATTTCGATAAAATGGTGCCTGTGACACTGTGACTTCAGAGGCCCTAGTAGCTACTTGCTCCTGTTCTTCATTTTCTTAGATTCAAGGAAATCTCTGCTCAAGCATATCTGTAGATTTCTTAATTTTATCTTTTAATTTCCTTCAAATACTTTTTACCTTGAAAACCCCAGATAAAAGTCCCTTGGTTCAGATTAGCTGGCAGCTGTGTAAAAAAGCTTCCCCAGTTGTCCAGATCCACCAACACAATGTGAGTCATGGTACTCAGGTAGTCAAGATCAGGAAGTTCACCATCTTCAGTGGGAAAAAAGGACACATTTAAAATTCATCTGACTTTCTGGTCAACCAACATGCTTTTGAAAATTCATGTATTCATATATACAAGTGAAAACTTACAAAAAAAGCTACAAAACATGATTATCATTTGGTGATTGCATAGATTTTAAAATCAACTGAATTAGCATTCAATAATGCACAAATTAGAGAAAAGAATAGAATCTGGCTATATGATGGTATAGACCTGGTAAGTTTTGTGGCAAGCACAGAAAGCTGTTGTCCTGCCCCAAGACATTTTAATGACTCATTTAATTTCAGCTGTGCATCCCCAACTATGGCAAGTCTCTATGCCATTCAATTGCTTGCATGCATAAAAGCATATACAATGTTTAGATGTGCCCTTTTTGCTCTACATCTGACATAAATGTCAATCTCTTAATCAAAAATGTTGTAACACTGCTAGTAATTATGAAACACTTCCAATTTCTGAACACAAGGCACATCTTCAGCATTCTTGATGTCATTCTTAGAAGCAATAACAAACTTGAAAAAATTGCATGCTCTAGGGAAAAAAACAATACATACTGGGAATATAAATTCTCATCTGAAACTGCTTTTTGGAAAACTAAGAAAGCTGAAATGATGATGATATAACAGGACTGCCCACACAGAAAGCACTAACAGGTTCATATATATTTATATGAACCTGTACATAAATGAAGGCAAGTTTCTTTTGAATGTGCGTAACAGATCACTTTTACATTTCTAGGCATTAGATTTCTAATTGGGGTATCCTTGATGGTCCTCTTCTTTTCAACACCAAATTACACTCCAAACTAATTAGAAAATTAAATGTTTCAAGTCTCAGAATTCTTACACTTGCCTTTCTGGTTTTTTTTTTTTTCCCCAAGACTTCATATATACAGCGTATAACAATAAATTGTGGAGTTCTTGAGTTTTGGAAATTCAAATACTGAGAATGCGGTATTTGAGAAATAACAAGTATAAATTCTGAGATCATTTATAGCCTGGATATAACCAAATGGTATGTGACATGTACTGACAATGAAATAGTGTTTAGGACAGCAATATTTTTCTGATGTTGAAAGAAATTTTCTACATACTCTCACTAATTTCTTCAGAGTGTTCTGAGTCCTCATTTTTTATTTTCTTTCCCTCTATTGGGCCCCGTAGAGGAGATAACTGTGGTCTGCCCTGAGTTTTGGATGGAGATGCTTGAGGTCGTTGCCTGTGAGGTTTTTTGACCACACAAGCCCCACTTGCTGCAAACTTGAATACTGTGTCTTCTGATTCTGGTGCAAGATTTGATAGATCGGGTTTCTGCAAGAAGCAGTGTTTCACGTGATAATGCTGATGTGCGCTGTGAAGATCATCAAAGTTTTTGTTGCATGCAGCACATCTAACAACATACATCTGTTCCTTATGTTTCACTGATGTGTGACTCTTGAGATGACTGTTCAAATCAGCAAGATTCTGTGCCGTTGCAGAACACAAGCAACATCGAAACCATAAGTTACCTTTTTGCAGCATGGCTTTCTGACAATTCTCATAATCGTTCCTCCTGTTAATTTTGGAGACGTAAGTTGTCCAGCAGCCACAGGTTAAACGGTCTCCTTGTTCGACTGGGAGGAAGTCCTCATCTTTTTTTATTGATTGTTCCAAATGCTCAGGCACAAATGTATARTCTATGCTATGAATCGCCTTGTAATGGGTTAGAAATTCTTCCTCTGTGTTGAAGAAGAGATTACCACAAAGGCCACAGAAATATTCAGTCCGTACCTCCTGATTATGATGCTCTTGGAAGTGCCGCTGTAACGTTCCCACTTTCCGAAAATGATTTCTACATAAGCTACATGAGTAYCTGTGAAATGCGTGGCTTTCTAAGGACATGCAATGTTGTTTAACACTCTCTTCAGACTCAAACATCTCCTCACAAATGCGGCACTGCCATTTCCCCACAACAGGACCATTTTCAGAGGAGAGTTCCACAGAGCTGGAAATGCAGTCTTTATCTTCACCTTCAGAAATGTTCACTTCATTGGAAATGGATGGCAAAGGTTCATCTGCTACAGCTTCTTGCTCATAGTAGTAACTATGTCCACCATGAAATTCAGTTATGTGTYTCATAATATCCTCTTCTCTAAGATCTACAGAGCATGCTCTGCACCAGAGAAGAAAATTAGTCAAGTGTGCTCCTCCATGGAATCGACTCATATGCAAGCGGATAATGCTTGAATTCTCAGCCAGCTTTCCACACACAGCACACTTGTGACAGATCCTATTTGCTGATAAAATGTGCTTTTCTACTGACTCTTCTGTAAAAAACTTTTGAAGGCATTCACAAAACCAGGCTTTTACTTTGCAACCACTACCATGACTTTGGTTTGCTATTTCATCTTCAGTTTTATCTTTTAAATCACTCTTGCGTTTTGAAGGACTCATTTCACTGGTGGACTCGCTTGGACTCAAATGTCTTTTAAGCAGAGGTCTTGACCGATCCACAACGTGGCACAAATKAGACTGATTTTTATGTTTTCCATTGACATGGCAGAACATGAAGACGGACTCTTCCAGTGTAGTAAAAACTCTAATGCTATGTTGAGTCGTTTGTTTATGTTGGGTCATCTGATTCTTATCAGCAAACAGTTTATCACAGTTCTCACAGTGACCTTTTGTTTTAAATATCTCTGCMACTTGGGAGATGCTTTTCTTTGACAGTGCCATAGGCCCAGAATTATGACAACGTGTTCTAGAATGTATTAAAAACATAAAGAGGTTATATCACAACCTGAAACATTTTTAAACTTTCAGATGTACTTGAAATATTACCTAGTAGCTGTAGCRATTTGTGCATGGAAACAGAGTATGCCCTCTTTACCTTTATACACTTTAGCTCACCTACTAGCTTGCCAACAAAAACCATGCAATGTGTATCTAGTCTCTGAAGAGAATTAGGTGCTAATTTCCAAAGCTAACACTTAGATTCATGTTTATATTGTAGATTGTACAAYTTCAAAATCAAGTGCTGTCAGCTTAGAAAGGGTGGAATAGAGACCAAGTTTTGTTATTCTGTTACAGAAAATATAAAAGAGATCCTGACACTGATGAGCTTTCTGCAGTGTGGGGTAAAGTCAAGGGGGCAGGCTTTTGATTGCTTACTCAGGAAGTCAACACTCRGATGGTCCTAGCTGCCCTGGAATCCACCTAGTATCACTAAAAGCACTTCTGTATATCTGTCACTGATCTATGGATGTTCACATTTTACAGACAACTGCCCTTCACAAACCTGAAATGAGCCGTCAATTCCATATGTGAGCGCAGTATCTTGAAGCAGGACATACATTTCACTTGGAAGGGGACCTCTTTGCACAGMGATATCAAGAGGTTCTTTGCAAAGGATGGAAAAGGTAGCGGATRGCCAGACTTCACTGCATCTATAAAATGGAATGGTAGAAAGTGTAACCACACATTAGAGTTTTTGGATAGAATTTCAGCTCTCTGATGACATAATTACTACTGTTACTTGTTTGTCACAGGGTTCAGAGAGCAAGTTAACAATTGTCAGCTGAGCAACAGCTAACTGTGCAATGGAAGCCGTAACTAAAACCTGAATTTTTTAAACTCCTGTAACTATCTGATATCTGAATCTATTTGAATCTTGCTTTTTCATACTTGGTTACTGAATTTCCTCCCTTTTCCTTTCCTCTTTTCCTTGTTCTACAATATCAGGTCAGTATCTCTTGTAGGAAGGTTCTTACTAACTTTCTTCCCCTCCACATATTACCAGCTGTCTACTCTTACCACATATAATTTTGTTTTAAGCCACAGAGTATTTTAAACAACAGAAGTATGCAATTTATTTAACATGTTCCCACGTACTCTGGCCATCTATTTCTCTTTTTCCCATCCTTAATGTTAATTGTTATATTTTTAGATGCAGGACTTTCTGTTGTTCTGAGTATATACTCCACATGTAACTTCATGTACCAGCAGAATAAGAAAATTCAATTGAAAAGAGAATGGGAAATGGTTTATGGGTTCTATATTGTTCATATTCTGCACCTTAGCAGGCAAATTCTCTTTGATTTTTCTATTTAGTAAGATGTGATGATCAGCAGACAGTAACTTGAGGTTATGCCTTTCAGCTAACTTCAACTTCACTGGCAGATCTCAGACCATGTTGATAATTATTAATCATGAAGACCAACTAACACAAAGAAAAAAATGGAGCACTCAATTTTTGTTCTGAGCTAAGCGCTCTCTATCTCTAAAGCAAACATTACCTTGTGCTTTTAATCTTTTCAAAGCAATAGCTCACCAGCAATCTTTCTTTAAACCCTATGACCTGAATTTAAAAGRATCTGCAGTCATCACATTCAGAATTAATAACCTATTTGAGAATAAAAGTACATTAGAGTGACAATGCATAAGGAAAGTATAACAGTGCAGCTGATTGTCACTACCATGMGGGCAGCAGTACTGACTCCACCTGCAGGGAGATTCTTTCCCAGCCTGCCTTTTCCATACATTTCCTGTAGCCATTCTGGGGGAGGGCACAAGTCGAAGATACACTCATGAAGAAATAACTATACCAATCCTTTTGGCCACATAGGCTTGTTCAGAGAGCTGCAATGCCTAAAATATGGCCATTTAACGGTTTAGCTAACATTGAAGTAAATTATTTAATGCCTATTGCATATGTCAGAAATAAAAAGTCAGTACAGCTATGTTGGGCATTACCCCGTTAGCAAGACCATAATCAGATTTTTCCTCTGGACTCTGTTAAGCACTGTTCAGGATGTTGCCAGCTCACAACATAACCAGTATTTCAGCCTTCAGAAGCCATGTAGTCCGTGCAAGCCATCAGACTGGCAGCACTGCTCCAACTAAACACTCTAAATTTGCAATTATATGGAGAAGAMATTTTCACAGGTCTTTGCCATCAGGAATGCCAAAGACACTGACAAGAAAAACAGCCTCCAARCAGACTACAGACAGCAGAGTAAGAGGAAAGAACTGAACAGCCACTCTGACTGGAACTGAAAAAGAAACTCATGTGTTCTGGTCTGAGTCACTATCAACACGTTAAATGTAAACTTATTCAGGAAAGTAGTTGCACAGAGTCACTGGAGGATGAGAAGCTTATATGACACTCAATAGCATCTCATTACAGCAAGTGTGATAGAGGAATAATTTCTACACAAAAATATGAATTTCAAACATCACATTTAAGACCTTGCAAGAAAAGTAAGAATTGACTACTAACAAATTTTAAAACCTTAAGCCTTTTTAGGAAGCAGAAAAATATAAATCACTTCATATCTTAAGGATGAATCCCCAGAAAAATTAAAAAGCAGCAACACTTAATAACAACATACCATTCGGTTCAGAAACCTGGAGGAAGTGGTTCTTTTGTGACATATGCTGCAAACACTCTTCTCTTTTGGTGAAAAGGAGGAAGCAGTTTGGGCATGCGAAACAYGGAATATGCTGTGGAGGAATACCTTCCTTATGCCCATCATTTTCTTTTAGCTGGAAGAGAAAATTATTTATTTTAAAAAAAAATCAAGTCAAGAAACCAGTTCTCATGTCCTCCCATTCCTCGCTCACTTCTGTGGTAGTATTTTAACTTCTAKGTTTTCAGCTACCACATCTATGTTTACCTACAGCCTACTGCTCTGAACTTCCTCACAAGACAAAAGGAACTGGCCAAAGTACCATTATCAAACCCAGCTACTCATACACCCTTACTACACCATCAACTTCTCCATCCCCTTCTTGCACCACTTCGAGCAAGCACCTTCCCAGGAACTATAGGCTCCAGCAATTCTTAGTCATTCCCTTTACCCAGGCTCTCAGAAAAAGCTCCTTCTGTCAACAAAGCTGCTGTTTTACTTCATGTCAACTCTTCCCTAATCTTGCTAACATCTAACTCCCCAAAATGCTGCTCCTCAGAGTACCCTGAAAGGTCTGTAACTTTTGTAGAAGTCAGCACCTTTCACTTTGTCTTCCACATAAACTTCAGAGCTCTGCCTTCAGGGCAAAAATCCTTTAGTTCTGCTTCTTGATATTTTTGCTTACTTCTTTCTACATCACTCCAAGAATCTTCATTATATGCTTAAAGCTCTGACTAGGATTATCTCCCCATCCTTACACATCAAAGGAATCCCCATCTTCTTGTCTTCTGYGAGAGACATTCACTCCCTTTCCCCTACCTCGGCTGCTACTCCTGCTAATGTCCATGGACACATCAGTGGCACACAACTTTGAAACAGTAGAAAAAGAGCAGGGACAAACTACAATGCAATCTTTCAAGCTTGTCAGATATGACTATGTATCAAGAGTTATGACTACAAGAAAAATTAAACCTGATTTTCAGATGTCTAAAACTTCCCCAGATTTAACGCATCTTCCGGAATCTAGGTGAGAACATTTGTTATTAAAACATCCAACTTTGAAAATGCTATCCATTATCCAATTCAACACCAGACTGCTTAAATAAAATCCCCATCCTTTCTGGTGCTTCTCTTTGCTGTCACTTATTTCACCCTAACTTCCTGCCTTTGACTTTAATAGACTAGGAAATGAAGAAAAGGGAATACCTATCAACAGCACCAACAGACGGACAAGAGGCTCAAGACAGAACTACAGTCCTCTTGAAAGTATGCCAAAAAGTAAAAACCTAATGGTCAGATCTAAAGGGAACACTGGTCAGGCTACACTGGAACACAGCAGAGTAAGAAAAACCATCTTGAAGAGAAAAAGAGAGAGGAGGGAAAGAGGGTTAAAAAAAAAAATCAATGCATAATTGAAAGTCTTATACCCTCCACTACATTCTGTCTGGTGAGTTACTTATTCTTATGATCTTGCCTTAGATAAAAGATGATCATTGTACTGCTGAGAAGTAGAAAACCTTTCACAGCATATCACACAGGCAACAGCATTATGTGGGGGTCCATGTAATGTAACTGTTGGATCACAAGGTGAATGATCAAACCTGGAGAAGAAGAAATAATTAGCAAACTAGTACCCCCTAAATAGTCAAAGGACTTTTCTTTAATAGGAAAATTCTGTCCTTTGAAGCTGCCAGACAAAAAAACCAACCTAAGCTGTAAAAATTCCTTACTTCCCTTATCATGAACCGTATCAATTGAAGTATCCTGTACTGCTTCTCCCTGCAGCTTACCTGTTAAAATTGCCACTCTGGAGAGAAATCATACTGCTTTTAAGAGAACTAAAAAAGCCTGAACTTCCTACACAGACTATCTTATAATTTATTTTTACCTACCTGTACTGGTTCTGGTTGAGACGGAATTCATTTCTGTAGCWGCTTGTATTGTTGTTGTGTTTGAATTTACAAACAACAGTAAGCTAGCACAGGGATGTTTTAGTCATTGTTGAGCAATGCTTGCACAGTGTCAAGGTCTTCTCTGTTTTTCAGACTGTCCCACCAGCAAGGAGATATTGGGAGACACAGCTGGGACAGCCAACCTCAACTGGCCAAAGGGAGGTCCCATAGCATAAGACATCACGTTCAGCAATAAAAGCTGGGTGAAGGAGGAAGGGGAAGATAGTTGGGAAGACAAATACCATCACTCCACTAATGGAGTGTGTCTGTCATGTGTCACAGAGCTCTGCYTGTCAATTCCTGATTTTGCTTTGCTTGTGGGTGCAGCTTTTGCTTTACTTATTCAACTGTTTTTACCTCAGCCCAGAGTTCTCACTTTTACCCTTCYCTCTTCCACAGCCCACTGGGGTGAGTGAATGAGCAGCTGTGTGGGGCTGGGCTGCCTATGGGGGTTAATCCATGACATTCCCCTCAACTTCTCACCATCTTGCCCATGGACACATTCAGTAGMTAGAAGGCAGTATCTGCTGGAATTGAACACAGGCACACTGAGTGTTGACTAGCAAGGATCAGATATGAACAGACAGCTATAGCTTCTGGCCCTCTTTCCCTACATTAGGGGCTTTTCATCTTACCCTCACATTGTGTAAGTCAGCCTTTTGGTTTAGTTCAGGTTTGGACGAAGATACAACTAAACTGGAGTACAGAAATCTTACTTCTCAAAAAACTCCATATATTAAAAAATGCTCAACAAGAGAAAGGCATCAATTCTAAATGAAGACAACAAACCACACACACCAAGTAAAAAACCAAACCAAACCAACAAAAAAAAACAATCATGAAGTTAATCTGTATCAATTGTAATGTATTAATCTGCTCTCRAAATGGAGTTTTGCCAGTACAGGCAGTTTAAAGTAGACTTGATACTGATTTCCTCAGCAAGAACATATTCTTTTATTATTATTATTCCTTGCACTSAACTCTTGCAATATATGCCCTTACCTTTGAAGGTGACCTAGAAGAAGATGCACATTATCAAACTGTCTGTTGCAATGCATCACAGGACAACATTTGGGACTGCTGTTGACTCGAGTCTGACCTGCCCTCTTACAAACACTCCTTCTTCCACCGTTAACAGAGCCTGGTTTCAGACCTGTGTTACAAAACAATGCACTCAACCAGAAGCTGAACTACAGAGGCTTAAGAAAACAAACAAAATAACACACAAGCCCTAAAACATTCCAAAATCAAACTGCAGTGATTCTTAAAAGCAAACTAACAACGCACTCTCAGTCCTTTTATCCTACTACAGTAAGTCTGCTCTTTCACCACCTCTTCAATTCCCAGCAATGTAACTTTTCAAACACGTTGCACTCTTCCCCCAGGTTCTCCAGGCAGCATTTTAAATTCATTAAACAGCATGAAGTTACACTTACTTACATTTTTCTAAGCAGCAGTTCAACAGTAATATTTTTTTCTTTCTAGCAGCTTTGCTTACAAAAATGACCAACATTGCCTTAGTGGTTTTTAGTCTAAGTATCTKAAATTTTCTAAGCAGCAAAGCATTAAAAGAATAGCTTTCATCAAAATAAGTGTGTAAGAACATTCAAATGACATGCTCTAGCAAAATCAATATTGTAGGATTTGGTTAYGCACAACGGACCTGCAAGCTCAACATGATTTTCACATGCTCTATTCTGCAATGCAGGACTTAGAAACCATCATTTAAACTTAGTTCTCTGTTCTTACCTGGCATTTTTAACCACTGGTCCACACATAACCTTGCAGCTTCTGTATCACTGTGTTCCCGAATAAATTCTAACTCTTGCAACCCATGAGCATACTGGGAATCAAGCTTCTCCTGAGGGGAAAAACATACCAGACAACGTGGTTAGCAAATTTTAAAAAACCCGAAAAACAACAAAATAAAACACGTATCGCAAAACTTACATATGGGCTCCTAAAAACACATTGCAAAAACCTAAGTGAGGGGAATAAAAACCTTACAACTCAACTGACTTCTATTTAATACAGTAAAAATGGAATGTAATAGAAGAGAGAAAGAAGAGAAGGTAGCTGGAGAGAAGGTAGCCAGAGAGAAGGTAGCCGGAGAGAAGGTAGCCGGAGAGAAACTGAAAATAAAAAGAAGGCATTTTTACTTTGAAGCCTAAATCTAAGTCTGCAGTTTGCATTACCTGATGAAGAGTGAAGAGTCAACCAGGAGCATAATATTAATCTTAATAAAAGGATCTTTAAGCCTTCATTCTCAAGCTGCTTTAAAATTTAGAGTTATCTCTGACTCCAACTTACAGTTCAAAAACTGTATGTGGAAACATAAACAGATGGCCACAGAAGGGGAATGTAGGCCTCCAGACTTCAAGGCTACCCCTTAGACTGTATCTGATCTGGCCTTTTACTCTGCTGTACTACAGCTGCAGACTATGTAACAAACAAGCTGTAACTATAGTACAATTATGGGATTTTAAAAGCCATTAACATTGTTGAAAAAATGAGGCTTGGAAGTCAGCATGTTTCACCAATTCTAGATTTACATTTGTCCCTGTTCAATTCCATTAACTTCTTGCAATCCCATTCCTTCAAGATGTCCAGCTCCCACTGAYAGCAGCCCTACCATTAAGCCTACTGACTGTATCTCCCAGTTTGTAATAAAAGTAAAAAGTGCATTCTTTTCAAATGGCTGCAAAGTGCAACTAATAAAACTCAACCATAAAATTATGCCTTAAATGTTAAAATTTGATGCCATACTACCTGATACAGAGATTTGATATGGCAGACAGCTTTCCAAAAAGATCAGAAAAAAGCAGGTAAATATCGAGGCTTGAAGCACTGTAGTTTGTGAAAACTGTTATTTTTCAATTAATTGAAAATAGAATAATTGATGCCAAGGTTCCTCTGGTATATATATATCAACAACATGGAACAAGTTTTTGCCAATAGTTTTTACTAATTTAATTTTCCCCCCCTTAGGAACTGCAGTAAGTCTAAAACACTGATCAGATAAAAGCCACTGAAGAGACAAAGTCCATGCTGTGCTTCACACAATGCCTCAGAAGCAGAAGTCTAGTTGCTAGTTCCAGGCAAGCATCATGATTTTTTTTATTTGCTTAGCAGTGAAAACAAAAGACTTGTGACTACAAGGCCATTATTATGCAATTCTACCCAAAAACCCCACAACCAATACCTTAAAGGCTTTGTTTTTCTCTTCTTTTTGCTGTTTCTCTACTTCAACATGGCGTGCCAGACGATCCAGGGTTGATGCAACTCGTTCTTTCTGATAGTCAATGTGATCCTTACGCTTAGTATTTCTCTACAATTGGAAATAAACTCTTATTTGGTGATTGTTAAGTAACATGCACTAACACTGTGAAAACTGATGCCCAAGCTTCACAGCGTAATTCAGTAAAGATACTCCTGTCCTAAGTTCCATGAGCTACCTTGCTAGTTTTCACTTCCTTTCTACCAGCATCTGTAACTTCTGATAAAAAACAAACCAAAAAAACCCCTCCCCTCCACATATTCAAGGCAATTCAACACAATGTGAGGAACATGGATGATTGTGCTGGGCAGATGACTGTGCTGGGCATCCTAGAAGTCTCCAACAAATGAAAAGTTAAGTAAATTCTTCTAAGTAAACTTAATCCCCCTTAACTTGAAAGCCAACATACAGTCCATCTGAAAAACTGAGAACTGCTATCATTGTTGCTCTTACACTGCCTACTATCTTCAGAGAGGCAGAGCATTAGCTTTTTCTAGCCTAAGAGACAGGCCATATACTGTAGTTTYCTCCTCTTACACTGTCAGCTCTAGAAATCATCCCTTTAGTGTCAACCTGTGCATGTACAGAAGATCCACCTTTCCTTAACAATCAGGTTTATTACAGACATCCTCTACTGCAACACAGGAAAACAAAAGTCAAAAGATGCTCACTGCTGCCAAAACCAATTCTAGTAGGGTCTATCAATGTCCCTTTCAAAGGCCTTGCAGAGCAGGCAGAATAAACTTAGGGGATAGATAAACTGATGAGACTGCTTCTGACTCATACATGCTTAGAATGGATTATGAAGGATTAGGCTGAGCTAAGACCTGGTTGTCACTGGAATAAGGTCATTCAACCCATCAATTGTTCCTAAAAGGTTATTTTAGAAAGAAAAGACCTGGTAGTAGACCAAACATGTTTTCAGAATAGAAACTGGACACTCCAAATTCCAAGGTTGCATGTAAAGTGAATTTTATTTCCACAGTTCTTAAGATGACTGAAAGACAAATAAAAGTACCAAGTCCATTTCAAGGTGGAAAAAAATAGGCTCTGGAATAAGTGAAGTGGAATTCTTGCTTTTCACTCAACAGCAGGTAGAAAAATCAAAATACTTCAATGTTGGTTATTTATTTACCGCTTATTAAAAATATATCTAACAAGGCTTTTGTGAAGAGTAACTGATAGGAAAAAATATGGAAGACCAATTATTTTATTCAACCAAGATATCCTAAAATACATCACAACATACTCACATGAAAATAAGAACTGCTGTTAGGTTCTTCATCCTCACTGCTGACAAGATCAATGCATTCAAGGACAGGTCTTAAAGGTTCTTCCTGGAAAAGTGTTAAAAACGCACATACAAAAGCATTAAATTGTCTTCCTTAGAGATAAAAGATATCATGTCTGCCATATATTGGCAGTTTCTTCAATACATTAACAATCAACCATGCAGGGCAGACGAGGAAGACCTATTGCCTCATGAGGAGTAGCAGAGAGAAAAGCAGCATGGGATCCTCTCTGCTGCTCTTACTGCATCTCATTCTTTACATTCTTCCACCTTTCAAGGCAGTAAAGCTGTTCAGCTGGCCAGGAATAAACAGTCCTCTGTCTCAAAYGAGAGAAGAGGGATGAAATCTTGGACAGATGACAAAAGCTTCTACGARTCAAGCTGCCAGCCTCCAATTACCCCAAAAGAGTGCTTAACTTGTTACAATTAAATAAATAAAGATACCATGGCTTTCTAAATAAATTTTTTTAAAAAATCCACTGCATATTTGCTTCTRTAGAAACTGACAGCCTGTGCAATACTTTTAAGAATTTAAGTCTTTATTAAACAGGTGTTAGCAAGTAAGAGTTCAAAGACACACTAAGACCACCTGACTATCGAACCAGTTTAATAAMATGCTTGAAATGTCCAGCTCTAATCCTAACAGCTGTACCTTTTTCAGGGGCAGAGATTTTTCTTTTTTGTGTTTACTCACTCCCACGGTTCAGCAACTAATCAAAACTTACAAAACTGACAGCTGAAATGCAGAGTAACTTACTTTCAAGCCTMGAAGTTCAAGTGATCAAAACAATAMATTTAACACAAGTAGTATTACACTTGCATAAATGTTTTCTGCACATACAAAGTATTTTTTTTTCCTTCCAATTCAGTGCCTTTTTCTACGCAGTTTTTGTGAACTGCTCACTTCCACACAAGACAAACCCCAAACTGAAAGCTACGATAATTTTAATTACTTTGTTTATTTCCTGGTTCAACTAAAGAGTAATGCAAAGGTGCCAGCCCTGAGGATTCCGCCACTATAGGAGAGTTAAGAAGCTGAGGACCACATCCTACTCATAACTCCCCATGGGATGAGTGGCAGAGTAAATAGTATCCACACATGAGCCTGCAGTTACAGAGGAAACAACATGGACAAGCTCTCCATGAACACCTGAAAGCTTGGGCCTCTCTAGTTGACTATACTGGCATACTTGGCACCCAGAAAGAGATAAAGTATTCAGATGTACTCGCACTAAGATATGCTCACTCTTCACAACTTATCAGCAGATGTTTCACATTCAAAAGAAATTTAAAAAAATAAAAACACCTCAAAAAAAACCCAAACAAAAACAAAAAAGAAACATCCAACCAAAAAAAAAAACCAAAAAACCAAAACCCCAACATGCTTCACTTCTAAATTACTTCGCTAAACAATCTTGAAAAGTCATTCTTCTCATAAACCAATAGCCATGCCACTGAGCAACAAACAAAAATCACAGCTACTTCTGTGAGTAGAAGAATTTCTAGGTTTTTAAGTCTCCAGGCAGCTATGATATCACTGCTGCTATTCGCAGCTTTGTCTAGAAGCATCAGCATGAAGTCAACAACTGTCACTTCACTATGCTATGCAAAATACCCAATTTAACTGTTAATACAATCAAGTTTGTTCAACTGCTGACTGGTAAAGATGAAGCCTCATTCATCTCCAAGGACAGTTTCTTCTCAAAGAGTTCTGTGAAGCCCATTTTTATTGCCTCCCAAAGTTTTCTCCAAAAGTCCTAAACTGTGGTCTCTCTTTCCTGCCCTTTCWCATTTCACCTGATCTTTGGGTAATCAGGCCTAGCTAACAGACACCTTGTCCACTGACACATCATGCAAGATGTTTTGTTTGTTGTTTTTAGGTTTAGGTGCATTCAGACCAAATACCTGATTTACTTAAGCAGCACAATTAAACTTCTGCATAATTATATACACACTAGCATAGAGATAGCATAATCTAGCTTTYATGTATGTGACCACAAACTTGTATTTGACAAGTAATTATGGGAGCATGATTATATATACAAATGTAAACATACTTATTATCATAGAACAAGTTTACATTACAACAAATTTTTAAAATATTTACACAWGTTGTACTRTTTGTGTTCTAAATCTTTGTCCCAKCAGATTTTCAACTTTCAAGACTGCTGAGAACTGACCAACAATATGAACCAACATGTACGTCAAAAGTTTTGATTTTTGTAACCTAAAAAAYACAAAAGTTTGAGTCCCGAGCTGACTTGGGATGGGTGCAAAAATAAAAGTTGCTTCCTAATACCACTACCATTTYATTCAGTTCCTGTCATGATGCAACAGAAAGCCAGAGAGACAAATACTTCATTCTGATTATCTAACATTTAACACTCAGGGGGAAAGGAAGCAAAATACTTAAATGATAACTACCATGCTTCAGTGAATCACTTGATTTGGTGTATTCACCAAATAACTCTAAGTCCAATGCTTTGGATGCCAACTGTGTGCCAACTTGAATTATCTGTTTACTTATTCACAGGGCATTACACCTGTGAATTTCTTCTCTTGCCTTACRCTTCCCAAGTAAACCAAATGGGGGCAAGACCATCCTATCTTAAAAAAAGTAGAAGTAACAGCTTGCATTGTAGATGAAATTATATTTCTCTAGTGGTATGCAAAAATTTAAAGATTTTAAATAGACAAAATGTGTTTTAATGAAGAATGAAAATGTGGAAAATTATGGAAGAACGATTTTAAGTTTCCTGAATGAGGGTGAATTGAACTATAAAAGCTGAAAATCTCCAGAAGCAGAGACTGACAAATAGTCCTTATTTAATGGAGCAAAAGCATAGTCCCATAGTATGATTTCAAATACCCTAGTACAAGTGAATGAAATAGCAAAACAAACAAAACCAAAACCACAAAGAAAACACAAACCAAAGAAAATAAAAAACTCACATCAAAGCTACATCTGACTGACAAGAAGAAAAAATAAACTTATTTTGTATCAAAATCAGCAGAGTTTGGGATACTACCAGTGGTTTCTCTAATTCAATTTATACAGTACCATTGTGTGCAGAGTCTTTCTGACATGCAGATAACCAAGAGGCATCCACTCACTTATGAAGACTATAAGCTTCCAGTTATACATATTATTATATGGAAATTATGATCTAAAGCTAGCCAAGCAGTCTAGAAATCCTTCTGCAAAGTCCAAAGTCACCTTCACTCAGAGGCACAAATGCAAGATCTGAAGACATACTGATGATACTAGGTGATGGCCAGGACCTTTACCCTCATATTCATCAATTACAACAATAAGTTTCTCACCCCCCCTGTATAAATCCTGCTCAAAGTTTAAGCAGAGTCATCTGCAGCCTCTTTTGGAAGCAATAGTCACTGGGACCACAAAAGATCAATATTATACAGAGGGAATGTCACGAAAAAAAAAAGGAAAAGGTAGCCAGAAGTGTTAATTTTGGTTTTTTTTGTTTCAGTTTCAGTTACTGCTCCTGGTGCTGCAGCAGCCCTTCAATCATTACACATTCCAAGCTATACTAGCTTCCTTGTTCGTTGCCCAGTTTGGAGAAAATGAAACTTAYTCAATCATGATCACAGGATCATAGAATGGTTTCAGTTGGAAAGATCATCTCATCCCAACCCCCTTGCCATGGGCAAGGACACCTTTCACTAGATCAGGCTGCTCAGAGCTCCATCCAGCCTGGCCTCGAACAACACTTTCAGGAAGGGGAAGCATCCACAACTTYTCCAGGCAACCTGTTCCAGTGCCTCACCACCCTCACAGGAAAAAATGTCTTCCTAATATCTAATCTAAACCTACTCTCAGTAGGAAGCCATTCCCCCTTGTCCTCTCACTATACGTTCTTGTAAGCACCTCTCCATCTTTTCTGTATGGTCCCTTAAGGTACTGGAAAGCCTGCAATTAGGTCACCCTGAAACCTTCTCTTTTCCAGGCTGAACAATCACAATTTTCTTAGTCTTTCCTTACAGGAGAGGTGCTCCATCCCTCTAATCATCTTGGTGACCCTCCTCTGGACTCATTCCAACAGTTCCCTGTCCTTCCTGTGCTGAAGATCTCAGAGCTGGATGCAGCACTGCAGGTGGGGTCTCACCAGAGCGGAGCAGTAGGGCAGGATTCCCTCCCTTGCCCTGCTGGCCACGCTGCTTTTGGTGTAGCCCAGGACACGGCTGAATTTCTGGGCTGCAAKCACATACTGCCAGCTCATCCACCACCAACTCCAAGTCCTTCTCCACAGATGCACATGAATGCTTCATGTATATAATGAACTTTGAACTCATTAATCAATTTTGCCCGAATCAACAAAAATATTAAGAAGTCTCAGAGACAATCAACTACTTAAAATTTTTGCAAAAAAAAAAATCCACCTATCCTTCATACTTGAGCACCAAAATACCCCTTCAGAAAAAGTCTGTATGTTGAACTTCAGCTTTAATCAAACACCACACAAAATGGGGAAGAAACCTAGTTATTATTCAGAATATTGTTAAAAAAAAAACAGCTACTAAAATTACTGGCATCAATTAATCACTTGACCTTCAAGTCATACTTCAAGAAAAAGATGTTTAGATGTGGCTCCYAGGGACATGGTTTAGTGGTGGACCTGGCAAGGCTGGGTTAATGGCTGGACTCTGATCCAAAATTAGGTTTTCCAACCTAAACAATTCTATGATTCTAYGTAACCCTGCCATCCAGGTTATGATGACAGATTAAGGCCAGAACACAGGCATATAATTCTGCTTCTCTTGKATATCCAACAGATGTACATGCCTTGAAGTTACATTCACATAAACCATGTCAGCATTAAACTAGGTGTTGTACCACAGAGTGCCTCACAATTTGTTTAAGGATTGTTTAAGRCCTCTAACCCATTATTTCCTTCCTTTTCTAAACCTAGTATAGCGATTTTCACACTCATTTGCAGAATGAGCAGTGATTTATTCCATTAATTTTAGTGAGACTATTCATAAAGCAAAACGTTATGCAATATGATTAACAGGAAAGTTATCTACAGCTCCTTCTCATATGCCTCACTGATCACTGCAATCACCCCTTCACCTGCTGAGATACTCAAGATCGCAGTTTCTCTACAGGACCAACTGACATCATCTTATAGCCGTCCAAGAAAGGGCACATAAACCTTTAAGATCCAGTTGTTATGTGCCACAAACATTCACAAATAAAATTATATTGAATAGCAATGCTTTACATCAAAATATAACCATCATCAACAGAATAAACAAAGACCCCTCTCCCGTGTATTGGATGACTGAGGGTGTTGTTTTTACAACAAGCAGTGTTTCCAGCACAAGATTTACTTACTCCAACAAACTCAATCTCGTCTTCACTTTCAGAATCTGGTGATTTACTCTTACGAAGGCTGTCAGAGCTATGAGACTCCATTACCTAAACAGAAACAAAACATACCATATAATTTCATTTCGTAAGTTTTGTTTAACCATACAGCATATTCCATTTCACATCTTCTGCGGTTTTGCAGCCTGTATCCAACAAGTTTCTATCATTCAATTATCAACGACACCAGAATAAGTGATAAACAACTCTGACTCGAATCACGCTACTGTATTTTCACAAATCTGCAAAACGTGGCTTTATCTCTAAAGCATGCCAATACSTACACTGTTTCAGCTGCCATAGCTGCAGTGTAGCAGCCCACCGGCATGCCTGAGCCTGACACCCCAGCCAGAGGCGGGACCCGAGCCCGAGCCGAGCGGCGCTGAGCAACGGCCCGGCCGAGGTGGGCCCGGAACAGCTGCGAGCGAGCTCAGGCGCTTTTCRCAGCTGCGGCTGCTCTGGGCCGCTCCAGCACCGCGGCGGAGGGCTGAGCGCCCGCTCCAAAACAGCGGCGAGGCTGCGGTGCTGACTCACGTTCCCGTCCCGCACGGCCCCGCGGCACACGGCTCTGCGGGCTCTGCGGGCTCTGCGGGCTCCGCACGCCGGGCTGCCCGTGCTGCGGCTGGCCGGCCCCACCCCGCCCGCGACCGCTGTGCTGCAACCGCCGGCCCCGCGCGGCGCCCCGGCCCCGCTCACCCGCCGCCGGCCCGCACGGGCAACAACGCCCCGAGCCGCCGWGTCCCCGCTTCCTTCGCGGCCCGGGGGCGGGGAGAGGGCGCGTCACGCCTCGCCGGGTTCGGGAGTTGSCACCGCTCCGCCCCGCGTTCCCCATGGCRGGTGCCGGCGCTACCGCGGCAGCGCCATGGCGCGACCCCCGGCCTGCGCTCCGGACTCTTTCCTTCTTTTGGGGTCTTTCCTTCTTTCGGCTCCCCCGGCCCGCCTTCAGTTGGGCTGCATCGAGTTCCTGCTCGGAGGGGACAAGCCGCACGCCGCTTCCGGAGGAGGAGGGGAGGACGGGCGGCCATTGGGGCTGGCGGCGRGGGGTCGGAGGCGGGAAAATCGCCTGAGGGGCCGGGCCGGGCCGCGGGSCCGCTGCCGTGCGTGTCAGCCGCCGGTGCACAGACACCGCACACGGGGCTCCATCCAGCCCAGGCATCTGCAAAAGTCCGTCATGAAGATCTTACAGGAGGCGTGCCAAGGGCACTAGTGAGCTCCGGATAGAAAATGGACATCATCTACCAGGATGATGATGAATGTCTACCAATCATAGCCGTTTGCCGAGCTGGTCAAGTCTGATTTCCCTTTGGTAGTGCTACACTGTTTATTTTCTTTCATTGATTCAATGATTTTCTTGTTACTGAGAGCTCTGAAAAYGGTTACTGGGGTTGGCAGCTTCATTACTTTGTCAGGAATTAGGATGTGGCTGATTGGCATGTGGTTCTATGTGATCTCCTTCCTACCCTTCTTGAAGATAGAGGTGGCATTTGCTTTCCTCCAGCCTCAGGCACTGGTCCCAGACTCCATGATACACGAAAAATAATTGAGAAGGATCTCACCGCGACATCTGTCAGCGCCCTCAGTACCTGTCAGTGCATCTTGTCAGGGCCCAAAGACTTAGCCTACCTATGCCCAGTTTGCTAATGTATTCCCTGGCTTGATCCTSTCCCACCAAGGGTACATCTTTCCATCCTTTCCCCCTGATTTTTGGAACTTGAATTCCTGAAAGTTGGTTGTTAGTGAAGATTGAGGCATTTACTGTGTAATCAGGTGATCTGTCTCATTTAGCAGTGGGCCCACATTTTCCTTAGTCTTCTTTTTTCACCTATGTACTTAGAGAAGCCATTCTTCTTGTCTTTGACATCCCTAACTAGATCCAGTCTTGCTTAGCTWTCCTAACTTAATCTCTGTACGCTTGAAAAATGTTACTGTATTTCTGTCAGGTTGCTTCCACCCTTTGTATGCTTCCTTTTTTGAGTCTGAGTTTGATTAGGAGCTTCATCTACACCGGCATTTTGGCACTTTTGCCTAACTTCCTGTTCACTGTCATGAACTGCTCTTGAGCTTGGAGGAAGTGATTCTTAAATATTGCTAATTTCTTAGGCTCCTCTTCTCTCCAGGGCTATATTCCATAGGGCTCGTCCAGGCAGACTTTTGAAGCGGCCAGAATTCACTCTCTACTTTTTTATACTTTTTTATACTTCTTTATACTTTTTTATACTTCACTCTCGCCTCAGGCTCCTGAGCTGCACCATCTCATGGTCACTGTGGCTCAATGCTGTGAGCTTCACATTCCCAACAATCCCCTCATGGGTATGAGGTCCAACAAAGCATTGCTCATTATTGGTTCTTGTTGAATCTTTTATGAAGAAGTTGGAAGAAGTTACTGCTGCACTCCAGGAGCCTCCTGGATGACTTAAGTCCTGCTGTAGTGTYCCTCCAGCAAACATCTGAATGGTTGAACTCCCACATTCAGACCAGGGCTTGCAAACACAAGGCTGCTCCAGTCTAGAAAGGGATTGGGAGATTTCTCCATTATGGTGTCTTGTAGAAATTTTTCTTACATGCAAGAGCTGAAGATGACTGCTCCTAAGCCCCATCTTCTTGGTTTTGTATTTTGTTCCTGTCACATCACTCCATGCCCTTTGATTTTTTCCATGTCCATCAATCCCCTCCAAGGCTGCTGGTTACTCCCCCTCTTAATTATTAGTTTAAATCCCTGCTTATGTGGTCAGTGATCCTACTGGTAAAAATAGCTTTGCCCTGCTTAGTGAGGTGGATCTCATCTCTGTCAAGCACACCTTGATTTRCAAGCACAGTCCCATGGTCACACAACTCAAATCCTTGTCACCTGCACAGGTTCTGCCAACAAGTATCGATCGACTTGTCCTATTAGTGCGCCCTCATTGCCAGGATTGAGAAAACATCACTCGGACTCCCGTGCCCATGATTCTTGCTATTTATCTGCTACTGCTCTCTTGCTTTTTCTTTTAGTTACTTCTTGCCACCCAAAGTCAGTATGAATCATCTTTACTCAATGTATTGACTTTGAGTAAGCTGAACAATGTCAATGTCACCCATGAGTTGTGTGTCAGTATAAAAGAGCTGCTTGCACACCCGCAAAGCACTTCACTGGTGTATGCTCATCAAATCCTGTAAACACAGGAGAGTAAGAGTCCAAGGTTGCATGTTAAATTTTGGTGTTATGCAAGAGAATAAACAGCTATGAGCAATAACCTATCACATASTGTAAGYATTACTTAGTGCAYTTATTTTTCTTGAAAACACAGAGTTACCACTGTCAGTTTTTAAGTCTCCTTCCATATGAATGTAAAAACACCATTATGACTGAAGAAGATAGACTGAGCTGCCAGTTGTGCATACTAATTATATATTCATCACAATTTAATCACTCTTAGACTGTATAAGCAACACTGATTTGTCTAGTCTTATTTCATTATTAAAATAATGGAAACCGGRCTTGGGAAGTAATTTTTGCTGCCTCAACTTTAGTATTTTGCATTTGTAACTTAAATTTGATAGCAGAATGTTGATAGCAATCATTCTGTTTGTAGTTCTACATTTACACTTGAAAATTTTTCATTCTTAAGAATAGATAATATGAGGAGCTGTAATAAAGTTACTAGGGCATCAAGGTGGCATTGTTTTTCCAAACTCTGAGACCCTATGCAAATGATGCTTATTTAAATATGAATTTTTCAGCAGTCATTCATGTAAATGTTTACTCTTGCAATGACCAGTCCAAAATTCTTCCTTGTATCTACACAATACAGATAGGGGAAAAAAATAGTAAGGGAATTGCCATGCAATAATTTCCAATATGCAAACAAAACTCTGAMTTCTAAAATTAGTGTTTTTCATCTAATTCCTGTGAAAGAACAGTTTTCAGACTTTGGGCCAGCTTAGGAATGTTCTTATGCAAAGCTTGTTGGGGAGGGTAGGGGAGGTGAGGTAAGGAGGAACTGGGGACTTTGTGAGCTCTTTGTGACACCTCCAAGTCCAAAGCTCCAGAAGAAGTCCAGGTATCATATAGGATGTGGAAGCTGTTTTGGAGCACACAGTTTTTATAAACTCAGTGAAGGTCTCTAGCAACTAATTCCACATATTCACTATGTGCCCTGAATTATAGAGTAGGTTTAGATTAAATAATATTAGGAAGAAATTCTTTACTGTGAGGATGGTAGGGCAATGGAACAGGTTGCCCAGAAAAATTGTGGATGTCCTAACCCTGGAAGTGTTCAAAGCTAGGTTGGATGGGGCTTTGAGCAACCTGGTGTGGTGGAAGATGTCTCTGCTCATGACAGGGGGATTGATCTTTAAGGTCCATTCCAACACAAACAATTCTATGATTCTAATTCAAACATATTTCAACATTCTTGCTTCTCCTTGCTCCTTTAAGTGAATGAAACATTGACTGCATGTATAACCATTGATTTCCCTCTTGTGTCAACATGGCATACTGCCACTTGGTCTAGAAAATTTAGGTATCTGGTGGTTTGGTTTTTTTCACTCCTATTTCTATACCCTAATAACAGGGACATGAACTCATGCATTAATCATCTCCCTGATTTATTAAACAGTATAGTTTTTGAGATTTTTATCACATTCTTCACATACCTCAATATTCTTCCCACCTTAGAAAGCAAGTGCTCTTCAGAGCACTTCATGATAAAGAGTTACCAAATTATTTTCCATGGTAACCTTCAAATTCAATCTRATATGCAGTAATAGAAGTAAATAGTTCAAATTATTAGTTTTAGCATTTCTTACCTTTTCAGTAGTAAATCTCCAATTACTAAATGCCACACAGTCTAATGCCACTAGAGCTGCTAGTTTCTTCTGCAGCAGCCATCAGTCTTCTCCCATTCTGAGGACKGCAAATAATGTGTCCTCTGTCACTTATATCAGAAGAATTTTACRCTTTGGAACACCACACATTTATGTATCACCAACTAATTTGAAATCAATATTGCCAAAAATTTTAATGCAAATTTGGGGAGAAGCAGCATTGTTATTCTGATTCRTCTATTACTTCTTTGCTAATCTGTGGTTATCTAGTCTTCAATTTTGTCTTCTCAGAATCTGTCAGGGTCATTTTGAAAAAACAAGTTGTATTTTGTTCCTTTTTGGTTATACTGCAAGAAATATTGCCCTTTTGTTAATGGGACAGTTGTGTAACAGCTAATTATTTCCTTTCATCCAGTAGATAACATTGTATACTTTAGTAAGAGGAAGAAACAATCTTTTTGCAGATTTTTAATCCTTTGGTAAAACATTGAAATATCTCCTTCTTTATGTTGTTCCTTTTGTCCAGAATACCCCCCTATCTCCCTGGCCCRTGCTTAGGAGCAGGCCCTTCACTCTACCAGAAAATCCTCCTAAACTCTCTATGGTGAGCTGCCAGCCCCACCAGTTTTCCTTTGATGACTTACCAAGCCAGCAGAATAGAAAAGCACTAAGCTCAGCAGGGTCTGCAGCGCTGCACCAGGCACAGGAGGGGCAGCTGCTCACATTCAGCTCTGTCTACCTGCCCAAGTGCTTCAACACCTTCCAAACTGCAGAACAGCTGCATTGTGCAACATCAGCTGTGACAACTTTACAGTGCCTTTGTAAGGTAAGCCTTCTTACTTCTTCCCCAGGTAAAATGATGAGCCTTACAGAAGCTGGCTTCAGAACAGTTATTAAAGGAAAAAAAAACAACCAAAAGTCAAGTGAGAGAAAAACCCCAACCTTGTATGTTAGAGTGTATAACAGAGGCTAATTTAAGAAAAGGGCCAGAAGACAGTGAGGACAATAAAACAGCACTCATAGTAATGTTTCATTTTATTTGATAGAAAGTTGCTTCAAAAATATGATTAACTATATACATTATTATATATGCTGTACATACAATAACATATACAAAATTTACATAATAGCAAACATCATTCTGTTACATTTTATAGATGGTAGTTAATAACATGAGATAGATT